TATATATATAGAATTTTATTGAGAAACATTTTGAAAATAAATTAAGAATGATGTAAAAAAGACAAGTGTAAAATAAATAAAGGATACAATTGGATTTTAAAAGCAGCACAAAAACGCATACTCTTATGTAAACTCAAAGTTGCTCTATTTACTTTCAAGTGTAGTTAACTCACAAAAAACAGCAAAAACTAAGTTTGAAATTTTGAAAAGAATCTAGTATTGTAATCTGGCTCAAAATGAAGGAACAGCAGAAGCTTTTATGCAAATAAGTAAAAATGCGATGATCCTTTCTGTTGAGCAATCAAATGAACGTTCAGTTTGTAACAGCTAACTGGGCGTCATTAGCAACAGCTCTGATTTTGATGAAAGACATATTTCAAGCGAAATTTGGTAGTTTTGGAGGAACATTTACAGAATACGTCATATATACTAATTGAATGATAGTTATTTCTGTGAAGAATGCATGATCAACTAGATCATTTTGTAACAAGAAGTTTTTTCTCAAATTAATTCACTCAAATCTCAATCTCCAATTAGATCACTATTAGACCTAACTGATAACTAGGACATGTCTTTGCCCTATGATCTTAACAGCTCTGCAAATTCGGATTGCAAATGAATTTTCACCTTCACATTAATAGTAAATGTATGGATTTACTCAAAATTATGTAATACTATACATGCATTTTCGTGAGTTTTTCAGCATTTTGTATCATCCAAACGAAAAGTTAATTTTGAAATAGTAACGAATGATATTCACATGATATTCATTTTAGTGATATGATTAAGTGACGATTTCCGAATATCATTCCACTTTCAAAATGGTATTCATTTTGAAAGTGCAGTGATATTTAGTTGGTGATATGATTAAGTGATATGATATCCATACTTGGATTCAATTTAATAATTCACTACGTATCTGTGCCAGGCACTGCGACCGACTCGGACGCTGGAAAAGTTCGAAGGCATGATTCTTTTAAAACATTCGAACTTTAGTAGCAATGTTACCGTGAGTATTGATTCACTCATTTCATTATTATTACTACTGGTGTTACTCAAAGTAATCCTCTCAAGATTCCTATGAGTACCGTGTGGTGGTTTGTCGAGAGAATGAAACCTGTTAGCATCAGAAAAATATGCAAGCGAGTAAAGATAAACAATCACATAAATAAAGCTGTTTGAATAAAAAAAGAAGAGTATTTTCTACAGAAGATTCATCAGAATCGCTAGAATTCTCCCACTGTTCTAGTGTTTGTAGAACTGAATCTGCTAAAAGTATTTGCAAACCGAAAAGTGCGCTCTTCGTACGAGCATCAAAAACACAATTGCATACCATAATAATTGTGCTAGCTAGTTTATTTAAAAATACAACGCAAATTAATAAAAGTGGTATTAAAGTGTTTTTTTTTCGGCAATTCGTTTTTTCGTTTCATTATGTAAATAGATGTGTTGCGTACGATAATTGTACAACAGAAATAATAATGGACGAATAAAAATATACCAACCGTTATAGCATCGCTACTATAAATATGCGAGATTTTCATATCGCAGCACATCACATTTCACTCGTCTTTCAACTCCACATCCCATTTCATTCGACTTCAATTATGCTTTCACTCAGGTAACTTTTCAAAGCATTTCATGGATCTTAACACAAAAATTTCGTTTCATCGTTTTGATTTAGCCGTTCGAGTTTGGTTTTATAATAAATGTTCAATCTTAATTGACTGTGAGTTTCAAATGAGATGGATTCGTGGTTTATCAAGCTGAGAAACTGTGTATCTCATTTAGTGTCCAAAGAACATTCATTTTTCCATTCATTTTTCTTACTCTATTGTTAACCGATCAGCCATATGAAACGAGAACAAATGCAGGTGAAAATGTGACAGGTGCATGGTATCGTAACTCAAATTAGCACCAAACTGTACCATCTAATCATTTTATTAATTCAATATTGTCTGAACGAAATTCGGACTAAGCATCAATCATTTACAAATTCATGAATAACAAATGTATATCTCTTTCAAATGTGTTCATCAACATCCAATTAATTATCACACGGAAATTCAAATCGATACATACATTTATTAACTAAAGTACATGTATGATTTGATAGTGCATTGAAATGAAATATTTGATTATGTTTTGCAGTGAGTTGCATGCAAATGTGCAACAAATAATATAAGTTTTCATTTTAATTGATAACAATTTCGACAAGAAAACATGCACACTATTCTCATTCGCCAGTAATTGTTTCGCTGCAATCGAAACAATAATGAAGTGACACTTTTNTTTTCAGGATATTCGCACTGCTGCCGTTCTATTGCGCGATAACACCAACGTTAGCTCAGGTAAATTTTCGTGATGAAATTCATCGATTCAGTGTGCTCCATACGTTCACAATTTCAAATTTCACGTTCCAAATAGTTAACAAATACGGAAAATTGATGCATTCAAAATGCTTTTCAGTCAATTTGTCTTTCGTTCGGATGCTCTTCGATTGCAAACGGTGTCTCATCGTACAACTATGGTGTGCTTTTGATTATTTTGATCTCCCTCTGATCACATGTAAACCTTAACACTTTCAGCATAATTACATTGTTTCTGCTCGAATATACAAATTTAACAAGTTTCTCTGAAAATTTCAACTACGGAGTAATTATTTGATTAGTTGTTTATTACTTCTATTTTTGTATTGAAATGAATTTTTAGGAATGACAACCAATCCATCAGTTAGCTATTCATCATCATCCAATTATGGTAATGCTGGCTCTATTTCATGTTGTTTTTTTATTTTTTGAATTTAATCGTTAGCAAAGGGTGCAAACGAACAAAATGCAAGCGGTAATTTTCATTAGCTCGTAATCATGAGCTTGAGTGGTGGATAATAGGCTGGTGAAAAATGGGCGAGCACAAGCATAAGCACCTCAAAAATTTCTCCCATATTCCTAAGTGATGAGCGAACAGCACCTTCTGCAAACTCTCTATCATTGGTTGCATTGATTCCTGCATTTTGTCCTCGATTTTCAACAATATTAAACGAACGATAAGTATTCTCTGCTTGACAGAATTTAGCAATTAATCAAGGCACTTTAATTTTAACTCATGTGTTTTAATTCAGCAATATTGTTTGTATGAGAAAGAATATGAGAAGTTGTAAAAGCTGCCGAAGCCAAGTAGTGACATGACAACATAATTACAGCTCAACCTCAATACATTGCGTCATCCTCGGCATCAGCGTCTCCTATGCAATTCGCACAACCATTTGCCAATTACCTCGGATCTTCGCAGCAACAATTGATGCAGCAATCTGCACAATCACCGATGCAATACTCTCAGTCTTCCTCGGCACAGTATCCTCAGTCCTCTGCACAGTACGCCCCGATGTCAGAATCACAGTACTCTCAGCCAATCGTGGAGTATTCGCAACCATCGGCAGAATTGATGCAGTCGCCTGCATACTACCCACAACCATCCATGCAGATCTCACAACCGTCCGTCGAGTACTCCCAGCAATATCCTCAACAGTCATCCGCACAGTCATCAATGCAATACCCTCAACAATCCGTTGAATATGCACAGCAACAACAACCTCTACAGTACTCTCAACCAATTCAAGACTACTCGCAATCATCCGCACAGTCAGCTCTCTCGCAATTCGTACAGCCATCGGCATCAGCACTCTCTCCAGCAATCAGTTAGTTTACTTATCACGTTTCATTTCCGCATATTCCCTCGTAGTCAACTTTATCTCAGCGTCATCCCATCACGATTATATGTGTTTAAACTTCGATGTCTACCGCAAATTCTTATCACTTAGTTATCGCATCATCTCGTTCAATCCTACGAATTCCATTTTCTCAAAAAATATATTAATCATTATCATTTCTTGTGACTATTCATCGAATTCTTCGCAAACTCATTCGTAATCTAACTGCATCCAATAAGAAGCATCAAATACAAGCTGCACCTAATCATTTAAAATGTCAATTCAAGGTTTGCAAGTACGCAAAGAAGATAACATTTAATTTGTATTGAAAGCAACTGTACATTTGATCTGTTAATGACTGATTGAGTTTTGCAGGCTCCAGTCCCTCGTTGTCACGTTGTGGTATTTCATCGTGCGGTGGTAAGCTCAAGTTTGTGTTGTTCTTTAAGTTTAAAAATGACACGAGCAACTTTCTCAACTAGTTTCAGTTGCCGAATTTTCATCATTCGTATGACCGATAAGAATACTTTCTCAGACAATACAAATCGATAGAAGTATATCGTGTCATCACGCAATAGTTTATGCCAGAAAATGCTCGCATAGTTTTGCTGGATGTGAGATGAACATTAATCTGATAAGCAGAAATATTCAATTGATGCAAAGGCGGTATCTACTTGGTGTTAAGTAATATCAATAACTAATGTAAACTACGGAAGGATATAGCACAAATGCGTGAAGTCATCTGACATATTTATGAACATTATGAGCCAAATCAAATATGTTGAAACGTAGGATTTGACAAATATCCGCAACATTATTCACATTTATCCATGAATGCTGACAAAGAGCACCAAGCAATTTCATTTTTCATTAAGAGCATTAGATTCATTGAAGTTGATTAATTTCATTAATCAAAAAATTCATTCGTTCATTTTTGATTGAATTTTAATGAGTCATATGCATTTGTTTAGATGTAATATGACATTTTCAATTAAACTTGATGATGAATTCGTTTCATTGTTAACAATTCAGATGTATTTTATCAATCAAGAAAATGGAATGCTAATTTCCTTGAAATGATTTTAAACGGCAATCTGAAAATAAGGCATCAAAATCCAAAAGGTCTATTCAAATTATCCCACAAATTATCGTCAGTGATCGCGCTTTGAAGAAAATGTTGCAAAATACCGTTAAAAATAGCCAAATAAACATTGCCTTCAGTTTATAGTATGGCTCATTTTTTGTTAGAAGCATACTGTAGTCAGAACTGAATCCTTTTCTGATGAAAACACACAACGTTCACCCCACTGAATTGATATTTCTTATGGATGACATTCTCACTTTTGGTTGAAGCGTCGAAAAGATCTACCAAATTTTTCAAATGAATTTTGTTATAGGAAATGAATGCAAAGATAATGTGAGCATTAATGTAAGCTATTCTTAAAATGGTCAAGTTTCAACTTTATTGTATTTTTAGGTTCGGTGATACTGAAGGTCATTGGATGTTGTTGATCGACGAAGAATTGTTCATATTAGCCAGATAGGCAGTTTAGAAAATAATTTTAGAACTTTTTAGAATTTACTCATCGTATTGTTCGTATAGATCACGTTCATTTGTATCATCCTGAATCACAATTAAACGAGTGAATGTATTGAACAAATAAAGATACAACGTTGTGAACTTTAGAGCACTTCAAGATTCCAGTAACATTTTCAGTACAAATCTAATTAATCAAAGAAGAAATTCAACTGCAATCATTTTGATGCAAAAATTCATCAGAACAATTAAGCCAACCTCTTGATTCATGCCAAGAAAATGCTTGCGATCATATAATAAGGAAATGAATAGGTTCAACGGAATACATTAGACTTATATGAGCATTCCTCTCTAAACGTGTAATAGACAAGTGCATCATTTATCATGCATATGGAACTCGTTCAGTCACAATATCATATTGTTCGTATAGATCACCTTTCATATCATATCTTAGATCCATTTCTGTTTAACATAAAGCAATCTTAATCACTCGAATTCGGATTCAGCTGAGATCACAGATAGAATCTCATCCACAAAGATTGCAAATCATTACGACCATACCATCCATCTTGAGAATATGAACATGTAAAAAGAAAAGAAAAGGAAATAAACGAACAAATAATTCAATTACATAGCGAATTCAACATGATAAGATGATATTCATGACGATGCAGTTTCAAAAAATTAAGTGAAGATTCGTGTACGTCTCGTGATCGGTTCTCTGCACATATGGCAAACTGTAAGGTGCTCTGGACTGGAGCAGTTGGCGCACGCTTTATGACCACATTGGAACAGAATCGTACAACGTTGGTCCATACAAATGGGACAATATAATTCGATTTCGAGTTGTTCCAATTTCATTCTCAGTTCACGTATTTGTTGGTTCGTTTCTGGAATGATCGATAAAAACTGCTTTGAAGATTAAGAATAAAATGAGGATTTTTGATTGGCTTCCCAAAGTGCAATCCATTTGGAACAGTATAATCGCCAATGAGTGCAGTAGAAAAAACAATGTTAAAGCCTTAGATAATACACCGGAATTAGAAATTTTAATTTAGAGCTGACCTTTTTCGGCTGCTTCCTTCGCTCTCTCTGCGGCTTCTTCAGCAATTTTTTGAATTTCCTCTTCATCGAAAAGTTTTCGATTGTCGGCTGAATCAATTGTTACCTCTGCATCCGCAAGCACCTTTATTACATCGGCTCCGATTTCAACTTTCTCGCCTCTCGAATCGATGGCTGATAGGATATTCTGATAGCATTTCGGACATCTGTGAAGTGATATATTCCGAACGCACATCGAGCAAACGACTCGATGACCACACGGCATAAACAGAATATCTGCGGGGTTGTCATCGCAATTGAACGAACAAATATTCATTTTATCCATTCTGAACGATTGCACCGCCACATCTAAGAATGGCCTACAACCAATCGCTTATTCATTTCACTGCATTTCCAGTTTCATTGCACTGACAAATTGATGCACTGATCGTCAAAATAAGACTGCTGATTTTAAAATTGGCCAAGGACAGCAATAAAAAGAACCATTCATAAAATAACCAAGGCATTACAGCGCATTATTCGAAGTCGGACGTCAACAAACAAATCATAAACAGTTAAACATTGCTTCAAGAAGCATTCAAGTGAATATGATAATGACGAATTTGGTGAAGAAAATATATTGAAAATGCAATTCGCAAAAAACAAAAATTTATGACGTTTCATCTGTAATACGCTTAAATCTTCCTCCATAATCCATCTTATAGAACGAAATCACCAATATTACCATGGAATATAACATTTTATCTTATCATCTTACCATAGAAAATATCACTTAATCTTTGAGGGTAAATTTGCAGATATCTCAGTTTAGATTTGAGTCTAAATCAACAACTGATACAATCATCAGAACTATCTGTCAGCCGGTATCGCATAACATCGTTGCCTCCATTTCTAATATCTCATTTTACAAATATTGCCCTTTTTCGAATGGAATCACATTTGCTTGCGTTTGCTATATTAGCCTTTCAAATATTGAACATTAGCAGTGTTTCATTTACAGCAAAATTGTTCTTTGTTTGATATCCATCTAAGGAATTTGTACTTCACATCCTGTCCATTCGAAAAAAAATATTGCGTCTTTCTTTGCTCATGGAATGCAAGCAGCTTCAAATGATGTCAAAAGCTGAGCCTTTGATCTTAGCTGATGCTCACCCCAAATTCCGAGGGTCCGTCCGCTCATTCTTCTATGGTCGTGATACGCAGAATAATTAACGATGCCGGCGGCAACATTACTTTGCGTATCAGTGGATATGCAATCATGCTCAAAGTGATCTTAAAATGAAGTACTCGTGGTTTGAAAACGACTGACAACTAACAGGATTTAAACGTACGAACAACCAACTGATCAACAAATCGAATAAATAGTGACACCATCTACCAACTGAATCTCATGAAATTTCAGCTTTTTTGAAATTTTCTGTTTCAGGATTCATCACAACAAAACTTTTTCCCCCTTAAGCATTCGATTCGTTGAAGACAAAATGAAAATTCAGCATTCCACTGATTACAATTCGTTTTTTTATTGAAGGAAAATAAACAATATTCTGATTTTATCACAGCAAAATTCTGAGAGATTCTAATCCATCGAAGCTTTGCAGATTATTTAATATTTAATATTGCAGAAGAGATTATTTAATTCATTCGCCAATGACCGAATTCTCAACAAGGTGGTCAAATATTATGCAGATGAAACTAACGAATTTTTCGATAACATCACTTTAAGTGTTGGTCCCAACCAATAATTTAAGTTATCAAAGCAAACAAACGAAACAACTAAAAAATAGCCTTTGAAGATTAGCAAACGACATTCGGCCTTAACAGCCGCTAACGGACCAGAATATTTATGCAATATTCGAATATTCTTCAGACAGCCCAATTTCAATCGCTTCCAAATTTCAACAGATTTTAGCATTTATCAGTTCTTGATTTTACTCATTTCTACATCATGCAATAATGTTTATTCAATTTTTGAATGTAAGTAAATTTGGTTTGCAAAAAATTTTTGCTCCCACGTCGAAGAGAAAAAATTTTAGAAAAATTTAGCAGCATTAGGGTGACCGTCTTCAAACTAACCGTGTCAAACTAACCATCTTCAAACCGTGATTTGCACAATAACATGGTTATTTTTTCACACCGTTGGATTCCCCAGATTCTCTAAATTATGAAAAGTATATATGTTGTC